GAGCGGATCGAGGTTCTGTACCTGACGAAGAGCGGATCGAGGTTGTGTTTAAAGTCGTGTTAAATTAAGCAAAGTGGTGCCTTAGGTGTCACGACGGTGGGTGTATTTTCAATGTGGAGCCTGCATATGCAAGCCAGCAGCCACAGCCAAGATTTTCTGCTGTTTAATCAACCTGCTTACTGTATGTAACGAATAAGAGCTGCAGCGTCCAGCCACCCCCTCCTAGATCCACATTGAAAATACACCCACCGTACGTTGTAAGGGAACAAACACTAGAGATTACTTATCTCTAACGCCACATTTCCCCTCCAACGCCACATTTCCCTCCCCCATGCAGCCAACGCGTCGTCGCCCATCCATCACCACCACCACCACCACCACGCTGCGTGCCATCCCCAGCCATGGCTGCCTTTGCGCATTTCCTCAAGGCGTGCTTCCCCCCGCACCCCGACTCGCGTGCACGCTGTACTAACTGGGAGACGGAGCGAGGCGGGGGTGGCGTAGGGCTGCATATCGCCAAGAGTTCGATTATCGATTCTCCAAGCTAAACCATGTCATGACGGAAGTGATTTTCGCGTCGACCATCACCCACGGCGGAATGAAGTGGCGCGCTGCTGTTCGATGCGACCCTTCGATGCGACCATGCGATGCTCCTACCGAACCTTGACGAATGCCGTATCTCTATCGCGTCCTGCACCTCGACAAATCCTATTTCCTAGCGCATCTCGACGATGTCTTGCCACGGTCCGTTCCACGAAGAAGAAAAGACGTAGCAAGGACGAGGGGGCGAGTCTGCAGAGTGTGTTCCTCTTATACCAATAGCCCATAGACGACCACTGACGTGCGCAGTCCCCTCGGAAGCCCGCTTCAGCGACATTGGCGTCCAGCACCTCTCCAGCCATGTCCACGCCCAGATCTTCCCCGGCACAAGCACCTCTGCGCCACCCGAGCTCGTCGAACTCTCCAGGGACCACCTCAAGCGCCATGACCTGCTGGGCAAGAACCAGGACTCGACCCCGCCCGTCGGCTTCGACCTGCCCCGCCTGCAGGGCGCCACCCTCGACGAGCACTTCCACAACCTGGGCAGGGACGCCGCCGAGCCGTATCTGTCCCTGGCCAAGACACTCGAACACGCGAATCCTCCGCCAAAGCCACAGAAATGGGTGAGGCGGAGCGGCTGGACAAAGTACAACAGCGACGGCACAACAGAGGCGGTCGATGCTCCCAACGAGACGATGCTGACCTTTGACACCGAGGTCATGTGGAAGGAGACGTCGTTTGCCTGCATGGCATGCGCAGTCAGTCCCACAACCTGGTATTCGTGGCTCTCACCGTGGTTGCTGGGCGAAAAAGACTCGGACCGCCACCTAATCCCCCTCGGAGACCCCTCACAACCGCGCATAATCGTCGGACACAACATTGGATACGACAGGGCGCGCATAGCCGAGGAGTACGACATTCGCCAGTCGAAAAACGCCTTCATCGACACAATGTCCCTGCACGTCGCCGCCAACGGCATGTGCTCGCGCCAACGACCTTCCTGGATGAAGCACAAGAAGACCCGGGAGATGATGGACAAGATTGCCACAGCCGAGGAGAATGCAGACCTTTCGCACTTGCTCAATCAAGATATCGTGCTCGACGCCGAGGAGGAGGAGTTGTGGGTAGAGAAGAGTGCCATCAACTCTCTCCAAGAAGTTGCCCAGTTCCACTGCGGAATCACCCTCGACAAGGCACAACGAGAGTACTTTGGTGAATTGAATCGGGAAGGGGTATGCGAGAAGCTGGACGAGTTGCTGGACTATTGTGCGGGCGATGTCGAGATAACACACAAAGTCTACCAAAAGGTCTTTCCATTGTTCATGGAATCCTGTCCGCACCCAGTCAGTTTCGCCGCCCTTCGCTTCTTGGCTAGCGTCATTCTCCCAGTCAACGAAACCTGGGATGCATACATCCACAACGCAGAAGCGACCTATCAATACCTCGACACCGCTGTACGGGAACGACTGCTGGACCTGACGCAGAAGGCGCTCGAGCTCAAAGATCAACCCGAGATATACAACAACGACCCATGGCTGAGCCAGCTCGACTGGTCCGGCCAGGAAGTGAAGATGGTCAAGGGGAAGAAGAAAGACGACCCTCCACGGCCAGCAGCCCGGCAAAAAATGCCGGGCATGCCAAAGTGGTACAAAGACCTGTTCGTAAAGGCCGACTCGCCGATAAACCTCACTGTCCGCACAAGAGTAGCGCACCTCATGTTGAAGTTGTCCTGGGATGGACATCCGATGGTATGGTCAGACGTCTACGGCTGGACGTACCAAGTACCCATGGACGAAGTCTTTGCCTACAATCAAAAGGGCATGATGGAGCTGGACATGACTGAGGAGGATAATCTGAAGCTGCGTGACGACACAGCACATCGGTACTATAAGATTCCTCACAAAGACGGTCCGCTAGCACGATGCGCCAATCCCCTGGCAAAGGCTTATTTGTCGTACTTTGAAAAAGGTACCTTGTCATCCGAGTATGCATACGCCAAGGAAGCTCTCGAAATGAATGCATCTTGCTCGTATTGGATCAGCAGCCGGGACCGCATCATGTCGCAGATGGTCGTCTACAATAAAGAACTCACCAACAGGCCCAAACTCATATCCGCCGCGACCAAAGGAAAGGGCAAGAAAGTCGGCTTCATTCTCCCGCAGATTATCCCCATGGGAACTGTCACCCGCCGCTCCGTAGAAAAAACCTGGCTCACAGCCAGCAACGCCAAGAAGAATCGCGTAGGCTCAGAGCTCAAGTCCATGGTTCGTGCACCACGGGGTTACTGCTTTGTCGGTGCCGACGTAGATTCGCAAGAACTTTGGATCGCGAGTTTGATTGGTGACTCGACGTTCAAACTTCACGGTGGAAATGCAGTCGGGTTTATGACGCTCGAGGGCACCAAAGCAGCGGGTACGGATCTACATTCGAGGACAGCCGGTATCTTGGGCATCTCTCGAAACAATGCCAAGATTTTCAACTACGGCCGCATATACGGTGCTGGCTTGAAATTCGCCGCCACGCTGCTGCGACAGTTCAATCCAGGGTTGACCGACGAACAGACGGCAAAGACGGCCGAGGCTTTGTACCTGGATACCAAGGGCAAGAAAACATTGAAGAAGCCACTGCGCGCGCGGCCTTTCTGGCGCGGAGGAACAGAATCCTTCGTCTTCAACAAACTCGAGGATTTCGCGGAGCAAGAGCGTCCCCGCACTCCTGTCCTGGGCGCCGCCATCACCGAAGCGCTGCAACGCCGCTACCTCAGCAAAGGCGGGTTCATGACGAGTAGAATCAACTGGGCTATCCAGTCCTCTGGAGTCGACTACCTCCACCTATTAATCGTATCCATGGACTACCTGACCCGGCGCTTCAACCTCGACTCCCGCCTCTCCATCACAGTCCACGACGAGATCCGCTACCTCGTCAAAGAAGAAGACAAATACCGCGCCGCCATGGCCCTCCAAGTCGCAAACATATGGACGCGCGCCATGTTCTCACAACAAATGGGCATCGACGAACTCCCGCAGTCCTGCGCCTACTTCAGCGCCGTCGACATCGATAAAGTCCTCCGCAAGGAAGTAGACATGGACTGCATCACGCCCAGCCACAAAGACCCAATCCCCCACGGCGAATCCCTCGACATCACCGCCCTCCTCGATAAAGGCGACCAAGCTCGTCTGGACCCGGATATCGTCCCCACACACCCCCCGCGCGTCGAACAGTACGCGTCGAGTTACGTCCCGCGCACACCCGTCATGTCCGCCCTCGACGCCAATGATAATACAGACCCCGCAAATGCCCTCGCATACCTCAAAGCGCAAATCTCCTCCTCAGACGAGGAACTGCGCGACGTCCTCCGGACTGTCGTCCTCCCGCCCCGTAAACCTTCCACACGGACACGCGTCTCGGAGGCGCCGGCTAATGCCCCGGAGAATGAATTAGATGATTATCAGCAGATTAGCGCGACGATTATGCATTATCAGGAGATGGCTAAGAAGTTGCCGGTTGAGGGGGGGGGGGGGGGGGGGGGGGGGCGGGGGGGGGACGGGGAATGGGAATGGGGGCAGGGGCGTGTGGAATTATCATGCTATTCATCCGAGGAGTTCGGGGCCTAGGGGGGTTAGGGCGGGAGGGGTGTGAGGTTTATGTGGATGGGGGGTGGGATGGCGTTTTGGCTTGGTGTGGTATGGGCGTGGATATGGGATGGGATTTATCGGATTGTAGGTTGTATATCACATCATATCGAAACTCGCTTCTTTACCTGTATGTTCTCCCCCTGCCTTTTTTTCGTGTATGTTTCTCTGCTTGAATGCAAATAGTATCGCATTTGTATCCGTCTCACTAAGTCTGGAGTCTGTTATGCTTAGCCGCTGCTGCTGTGTGAGATGTACTGGCGTGTGGGAATGCGGGTACTCCCATTCCACACAGTTCATATCCTGAATCGGCGGGACAGACGGACGGACGGAGTAGATAGGATGATGGTGTATATCTGCGTAAGTGGAGTAGTGATGAAGCGCGCGAGGTCTTTGCGGACTGGGCATATACAAACCAAAGCCAGGCCTTATCTCTTGAGCATCACGCAGGGCAGGGTGGGGTAGGCGTTCTTGAGAATGAGGAGGTGGGAGGAGGGGCTGGGGAGTATGGTATTGTGAACGGGGGATGGTGGAGATAGATGGATGAGCATTTTATCCCGCAAACGCATACGGTGGGATGTGTCTATGATTGGTACTGGTATGCTAGATTCATGTGTAAAGAACGTCTTTGGAATCGGGAAATGGAAATGCAAAACGGCGCGTCGTACAGCTGAAGCGCGTTAATGAGGTGGATGAGGTGTGGGTGTTATGACTGCGTTGTGGAAAACAGATCACGGGTATTAATGTATATGGCGTTGTCTCTTGGCTCGCATGAGATAACAGGCACGAAACTAAGTTATCATGAGTTGCCTTCTCAATCATATAACCTTTCTCAAGTCTTACCATCTATCTGAATCCGACCTTAGGACCAGTATTCTTGTGAAGAAATCCGTTCGCGTGAATTGAAGATAATACTGCAAAGGCTCACATCAGAACTATCAGCGTGTGATGTTAACGCAGTGAAGGTTTCCACCTGTAGTATTTTTGTCGAGAGAGCGATAAAGGTCTGATCAGGCTAAGATTGGATCTGCAATCTGATGGGTCTGTGAAGAATATGACATGTTTGAAGTAATGCTTTAAATTACATAAACCTGCTATGACAACGTTCTTCCAGCTGCACACTGATGCGAGTCAGGAACCAAGTCGGCAACAGAGATAGCAGTGACTAGGTTGTGCTACGCCGCAATATTGCATTAGTGAGAATTCAATATCTATAAAATAATTGGAGCTGTACATCCCATTCACCCCTTTCTGACGAAATCCCCAATCACCAAACAACTCAGTCTCATACAACTAAAGTCCCGCTATCAACACTGTCAATGGCCATGCCTCCAGAAACCCCCCTCCTGAACCCAAACACCATCGTCCTCGTAACCGGCGGCAGCGGCGGCCTCGCCAGCCAAATCCTGCATCTCTTCTCGCAACAAGGCAGCCAAAACCTGCACTCTATCGATCTCCGCCAGCCATCCCACCATCTCAACAACGTCACGTACCACGTAGGCGATCTCACCGACTCCACCTCAATGCACCTTATCTTCCAGGCCGCAAAACCAAACATAGTAATCCACACCGCGAGTCCGAAATTCGATTCCGCAAACCACGTCATGCACAAAGTCAACATAGAGGGCACAAAGACGCTTCTCCAAATCGCGAAGGAATGCGGGACCCGAGCGTTCGTGTACACGAGCTCCGCCAGCGTTATCAGCGACGCGACGACCGATCTGGAGAACGCAGATGAATCGTATCCTGTGAATTTGAATGCGCAGCAGCCGGAGTTTTATACGTACACGAAAGCTGTGGCGGAGACGTATGTCCTGTCGCAGAATTGCCGGGCGCAGGGGACACGCGTTTTGAGTTGCGCTATCAGGCCGTCTGGGATATTTGGTGTTGGCGATCTGGTTGTTCTCCCGGGGATTCTGGACGCGTTTGACCGCGGACAAACGAGGGTGCAGATCGGGGACAACAAGAATTTATTCGACTTCACCGCAAATATAAATGTAGCGCACGCGCACTACCTCGCTGCCGTGGCGTTGGACACATGTCAGACAGGCGATTTACCCGGGGACGACGAAAAGGTAGACGGCGAAGCGTTTTTCATCACCAACGACGAGCCACGGTGCTTCTGGGACTTCACGCGGCTGGTTTGGGGGTATGCGGGGGATAAGACGCAGCCGGGGCAAGTGTGGGTTATTACGCGGACGTGGGCGTTGTTGCTGGCGGGGGTGGTGGAGTGGGTGTTTTGGGGGTTGCGGATGGGCGAACCGCCGCTGACGAGGACGAAGGTTAGGCTTAGCTGTATGACGAGGTGTTTTTGTGTTGATAAGGCGAAGAAGAGGTTGGGGTATCGGCCGTTGGTTGGGCTGGAGGAGGGGTTGAAGCAGGCGGTGGAGGATTGTGTGAGACGGCGGCTGATGGGGCGGAGTGTTGCGCAAGTGGATGGTAGTGGTGGGAAGGAGAAGGGACAGTGATGGTGTGAAGTGACGTTTTCTCGCGTAACCATCCTCTGCTCAATACCTGATTCTTCCTTCTCTATGCTTACTTGTTGCGAATAGACAGGATAGAACGATACCCCATGTGATGTTCAGCACCCTCAAACATGACTTTGCGCAGTTAGTGAAACAAGTCTGCCATATTCACCTTTGTTTCCTCACTGATTCTTCGATACTTTATCCAATCCTTCTTCGAACACTTGCACTTCATTCTTCTTGGATGTGTCATACCACAGTCTCAACCTAAGGTAGCCTCGTTTCCTAAAATACTTTTAACATGTATCGTATATATTATGTTATTGAAATACCTTACGTGCGTCTCCAGCTTAAAGTAAACCGGCCAATTCTCCTGATGTTTAATTGAGACTCCCTCATGTGGCATAACAAGATGTAACAAATTAACAAGCCGAGAGTAAAAAAGGCAATCGTGAAATTCCCAGTTCCTATACTCTGTAGTCATGCAGTGTGAGGGTTGCAATCATGAAAATCTTGCTAAAGTCTTGAGGTGTTGTCTCTTTTCTGTGAGGGATGGTGTGGTAACTTGGACATATCTCTACTTCTCTATAAAGCGGCATTAGCTCAAGGTGATTGGAAGATATCTGTACATACTTACATAGATACGGCGACTCGGAGAGATTAACACGCTTACTTTGGTATCGGTAGATGTTTCATGCGACGAGTAGTCGTGTTGCATGACAACAGAAAATGGCGTCACTAATCTGGAGTGGTTTGCCTTCTGTGGCGCGGCTCACCGGATCTTACACTGGCATAAATGTGTATAACGTACGGAGGGTGCACTGAGGTACAAAATTAGGTAATTTACCCCGCAGCTTTGTTAGGTAAAAAACACAGAAGAAAGACTACGTTTTACACTATAATACAGTATATAACATAAGGTAAATTTATATAAACTTAGTATAAAATAACTATAGTTTATTATTAAATAGGTAGGTAAATTTATACCTTATTTTATAATAAGTATATAAAGACGTTTATAACTATTATATATTAAATTATACTATAAATAGTATATTTCTTAACTATTATAGCCTAGTAAGTATATTAGTAGAGGTATCTTTATACTATATAGAGTTTTTATTATTAGGTAAGACTTTAAGTACTGCTACTATCTTAAGCTTAATTAGGCAGTAACTTTTAATACTACTATTAATATCTTAGAATACTCTACTAAGTAGTTAAAAGATACTAAAGATCTAGTTAAAGCCTATATTTATTACTATTAGTATAATAATAATAAGTTATTTAACTTACTATGTAAATAAATATACTTCTATCTAATAAAAAAGAAATACGCCCTTTATAAAAAGCTTCTTTAATACTATTTAGACTTTTCTTTTAACTTATTACCTTTAGAGTTTATTACTAGTAGAGTAATTATAACTACTAAGTTAAGTACTATCTTTATTATAGTTAAAGCTAAAGTAAAATAAGTATAATTACTAAGTTAAGTACTATCCTTATTATAGCTAAAGCTAAAAGAAGAAATATACTTTTTATAAGAAGCTTCTTTATTACTATTTAAAACTCTATTATAGTATACTCTCTAGAAAGTATAAAGTAGTAATAAAGAGTATTCTTTCTATTAGTAAAGTTAATACTAATATATTTAACCTCTTTATTAGATAGATATATAAGAAGAAGCTATTAGAGAATATACTAATACCTTTCTTTTTAGTATATTATATTTCTATTAAATATTAGTCTTACTTTATAGTAGATATACTCCTAGCTTCTAGATAGAAAGATACTTTAATAGAAAAAGCTTTTTAAGTACTATTTAGGCTTCTTTTAAAGTATACTATTTAGTAAGTTTAAAGAGATAGCTAATAATATTATCTTTATCTACTAGGTTAATACTAATATATTTAATATTTTTATTAACTAGATAGAAAGATACTTTAATAGAAAAAGCTTCTTTAATACTATTTAGGCTTCTTTTAAAGTATACTATCTAGTAAGTTTAAAGAAATAGCTAATAGTATTATCTTTATCTACTAGGTTAATACTAATATATTTAATATCTTTATTAACTAGATATATAAGAAGAAGCTGTTAGAATATATATAAGTACCTTCTCTATCTATAGATTATATTTTAGTTAAATACTATACCTATATTATAGTAAATATACTCTTAGCTATTAAATAGAAAGATACTTTAATAAAAAATATCTCTTAAGTTATACACTAAGCCTTACCCTATTTACTTATAGTAATTTACTTCTTTTAAAGCTTACCTATAGAGGATTCCCTACCTTAGTTACTTATAAATAGTTAGTATATTAATAACAGATTTAGTAGTATTACTAAAGAGTATCCTATACCTTAGTTACTTATAGATAGTTAGTATATTAATAATAGATTTAGTAGTATTACTAAAGAGTAACTTAGTTTTATATCTTAACTTCTATATAAGTTCTATATATAATAGATTCCTAAAGGTGTTAAGCTATAAGATAAAAAGCTAAGAAGAAAGTAAAATATAAAAAGTAAGTATTAACTAAGATTTAATAGACTAAATATAAAAAAGAGAATTTTAGAAAAGTAAAATATAATAGTCTTTAGCCTTAATATACTAGTAATCTTTAAGGATATAGTTAAGCTAAAGCTAGTAATTACTATTTCTAAAGTACTACTATAGCTAAGTTAATAAGAGTACGCTATAAGCTTCTTTATTAAAATACTACTATAGCTAAGTTATTATTTTAGTAATAGCTTTATATTATAGATATCTAGTTCTAGTATGCTTAGTAGAAGTTAGTTTCTAGTATAACTAAATTATATACTAATACAGTAGTAGAACCTACTACCCTTAGGTATAGCTTCTATATTAATATTATAAAGATTACTGCTAAGCCTACCTTAAAGACTACTATAGCTAGGTTATTATTCTAGTAATAGCTTTGTATTATAGATATCTAGTCTTAGTTAAACCTACTACTCCTAGAAGTAACTAGCTTATACACTAATATAGTAGTAGAACCTACTACCCCTAGGTATAGCTTCTATGTTAATACTATAAAGATTACTACTAAGTCTACCTTAAAGACTACTATAGCTAGGTTATTATTTTAGTAATAGTTCTATATTATAAATATCTAGTCCTAGTTAAACCTACTACTTCTAGAAGTAACTAGCTCTCTAAGTTATTATTCTAGTAATAGCTCTATATTACAGATATCTAGTCCTAGTTAAACCTACTACCTTTAGGTATAGCTCTTATATTAGTGCTATAAAGATTACTGCTAAGTCTACTATAAAGACTACTATATTCTATAATATAATATCTCCTAACTAGATCTTCTATCTTAGTATAATTAAGACTACTAGAACGCCTATACTTAGTAGAAGTTAGCTTTCTAGTAATAAGGCTTTAGTAAAACTATCTTTATAGTAAAAATAACTTTAAGCCTTTTATCTATCTAGATTATTAAGAGTATAGGAAATTAAACCTTTAGAAAGCTACTTATAAGGAAAGTAATACTAAATAGTATATTTAAACTATCTTATTTACAGAACCTTTAGAATACAAATAGCTATAGATTAATAAGGTTAGGTAGTTAAATATAATTAGTACTATAGCTATAGATTAATAAGGTTAGGTAGTTAAATATAATTAGTACTAAAGGTATATATACTAAATATTATATAAACGTAAAGTACTAATTATATTTAACTACCTAACCTTATTAATCTAGTCTTATAAGATCTAACTTTTGCTACTATTAAAGTAGTCCTATAACTTAGTAGGTATAAGATCTAACTTTTACTACTATTAAGGTAGTTCTATAACTTAATAGGTATAAGGTCTAACTCTTACTACTATTAAGGTAGTCTTATAACTTAGTAGGTATAAGGTTCTATATACTGTAATTATAATATATTAGCTTAAGTATAGGGTTAATACACGTTCTTATATATTAATTATTAAATATAATAATATTAGTAGCTATTAGGTTTCTAGTCCTTTTATATTTCTTAATAACTAAGTATTTATAGTAAAGATACTAATTAAAGGCTTACTTCTAATTAATAAGTATTATCTATATATTAGATTCTAATATTATTGCTTTAAAGCGTTATACTATTCTAGCTTTATATTTTATCTAGATTAACTTAACCTTCTCTTACTTGTTTTAGAAGACTAGACTATTAAGGTTAAGAAGAGGGTTAGAGTATAATATATTATTTCTTCTTAATTAAACTAGCTAGTAGGCTGTATTAATTACAGCCTACTTTAAAGGTAGTTTAATAATAGAACTTAAGCCCTCTATAGTAAACTTTATAGCTGCTAATTTATTAAGTACTAGAAAAGAGCTAAAGTATAATATATTATTTCTCTTTAGTTAACTTAGCTAGTAAGCTATATTAATTACAGCCTACTTTAAAAGTAAGTTAGTAATAGAATTCTACCTTAATAGTAAAGTAGATATCTATATTAACTTTATACTAGTCCTTAACTTTAAACTTATTAGAATACTATTTAAGAAAGTTAATAGTAACTTATAAGTTATAGTACTACTTAGCCTACTTATTATTTTTATAATTAAAGAGCTAGTTATTCTTATAATTAAAGAGCTAGTTATTTTTATAATTAAAGTGCTAGTTATTTTTATAATTAAAGGGCTAGTTATTCTTATAATTAAAGGGCTAGTTATTTTTATAATTAAAGGGCTAGTTATTCTTATAATTAAAGGGCTAGTTACTCTCTAAAACGCTTATAGTTATATATAGTATTTCTATAAACTTTTAATCTTTACCTAAGGTATTAGAGATATACTTAGAAGAGAAAGTGCTAAACCTTATATCTAAAGTTAAATATATAAAATATATACTTAGATAGTAATTCTAGAGAGGTTATAATAACCTATATATTATTAAAGCGCGTTTAGTAAATATAGAGGAGATATAGCCTATATTACTTATTTACGTTGCGTAGGTTTAGAATATATATAGTAA